ATTGCTCGGAAATCTTTCTCGCATATCCTATCTATCTAGAGCAGTTGGAGATGGCCCATATGAGAAGCTTCTGCACTGAGGGTACTCACTCCTATTCATGTGTCTGTAAAAGTTGGAATCTTGCACCAAATTTTTTTCGGTGGTTCAGTCGGGGACCCTGATGCCTGAATCAGGCCACACAGGGCAACTGGGAGATCTGGTGATTTGTGCTTCAGTTTGTGTAGGTCCCGTTCACACACCAAAATTTCACATGCTATGTAGCTACAGGTAGAGTGCAGCTTTTGGTATCTTTTGTTTGGCAGCTATGGCTGTGGACCATCAACTCGGTATCTACTTTGTTTAAGGATGTCTAAGTTTAAATTTAACGGTTAACAGTGTTTGAATGCAAAATGATTTTCGCAAACTCTTATATATTTTTGTTTGTGGATTTTCTTGTTTATTCAATTTAAATGTTAAAAATAAACATGATTGAGTTGGGAGAAATATAAATTTGCACAAATCACTTCCCTTCTTCGATATATAACATGAAGATTGGAAAAAAAAAAAATGAATCTAGAGCAAAGGGCCCATGAGTTTGCAGAAATAGATTTCTGGAATCTTATAAAGCTCGAACTTGAAGTGGCTCTTGGACCAAAATTTATCCGTGTAGCATGAACAAATTCGAATTTCAGCCCTTCCCCTACTTGTTTGTAGACTATATATCAAGAAGGCTGCCACACAAACAAAATAAAAGTTAAAAGACCCGTTTGATGATTATTTCGTTTATGGTTTCTAATTTTTACTTTTGGTTAGATATAAAAGAAAATACAATGAAGAAAGAAAGGGATGAATAGAAAGAAAGGGTGGGTGATGGAAAGGATGTGGAATAGTACGGAAGAAATGCACATGAATACACAACATGTACCAAAAATTGAAAACAATTTGATGTAGATGGTCATTTGATAGTCATTTTGTCTTTAGAATTAGAGATCTGAAAGTTTACAGATGTTGACTAAAGGGAACGTGATATTGGTTGGGATTCATTATGACCAAAACACGAGTGGTACACTACATCTCTCCTCTCTATCTTCATCTGTTGCTTTTAACTTCCTTAGGTTATTCCATATGTAAGAACTCTACTATTTGCGAGTGTGATCGAGATTATACTCAGTGACGTAGTAGCAAATATAAATATTTGTGTTATGTATGCACTTAATATAGGGGTGTGCTATTCACACACCTCATTTTACTTCTCACACACCCCTTGATAATTTATGTCCGTTGATATTCTTCAATTTATCTGATCTGATGGTCGAAAATAAAAAATGTGTGTGAGAAGTAAAATGGGCTGTGTGGATATCACATCCCTAAATATATAGTTAAATTTAATTAACTACCATTGGAGGGAGTTAAATTGTTAGTTGTAGGGGAGGGGGACCGATGGAAATTGAATCTGCACCAGAATGCATAGACATCATTGCTTTCTAGCATTGGAGTAAAGCGCGATTTGTTGTAAGTCCCTCTTTTTGGGTTACATGTTCATTATGAGTGCTAGTCCTATTGTAAGCAAGAACATAAGGAACTCTAAAGAAGAGAAGATTGATCTCTAGACATCAACGTGGTGTATCTTGTTGAGAATGAGTCTCACATTGATGAGATGAATGACCTTGTATGAGCTTATAAGTAGGTTGAGCTATTCTTCATATTGTCAGTTGGTTTTATGATGGAATCTCAACTTTTTTCATGATATCGGAGCAGGTTGTCCCTCGTGTGAAGCCCAATTGTTACACATGCTTCACATCACCCGATTTGTGTTGTCCACATGTTAGGCTTGCCACACGTGAGATGGCGTGTTGAGAATGAATCTCACATTGATGAGAGAATGGACCTTGCATGGGTTTATAAGAGGTTGGGTTACTCTTCATATTGCCAATTGGTTTTATGGTAGAACCTCAATTTTCTTCGTGATATTAGAGCAGATTGTCCCACATGTGAAGCCAAACGATCACACGCACTCCACGTCACTACGTTGTGTTGTCCACGTGTTAAAGTTTAAAAATTTGCCACACGTGAGAGGGCTTGTTAAGAATGAGTCCCACATTGATGGGATGATGGATCATGCATGAGCTTATAAGTAAGTTAAGAAACTCTTCATATTATCAATTGATTTAATGATGGAATCTCAACTTTCTTCGTACCTTTGCCTCAGACTAATATAAATATAATTTTACTAGTTATGGTTTTACGATAGTAGATGTTTGAAACTTGGTCGAATCGATTATAGGTCCTCTTCCGCAATCTTCACTCGTTAACATGAGATCCGATAGAATTGTCATGCGATCACTGCTTAATGACCTCTTAATAACCGTTTAATGATGTCTTAATGATCTCTGAACTTTCAGTCGCAGTAATCCTTATTTGTTTACATGTGGTGCCAAAGCCGACGTCTTAAATTCATCTGAAAGAAATATTTCCTTTATTTCTTATTTCTGCTGCATGAATTGTTCTCCGCCAATATTGATCATATATTTAATAATGAAAGATGATTGAACAAGTGAATCATTTTATATGGTAAAATATCTTCCTTCAGTTGGGTGGCATGAATTTCAACTCGTCAAGAGAAGATGAAATGGTCTATAGTTGTTTAATTAGATGACATTAGAAGTAATTTTAATCTAGGCTTTTTATATTAGCATCTCATAAAATGTTAAATGCATTTCATATTAAAATTTAATATTAAATGATTTATTTATCCTACTATGTAATAACAATTTTGACCTTATTAGGTTTAAAAAACATAAAAATTTTCTAAATACACCCCAAATCATTTTTAACGTATTATGTATCTTCTTCAACCATCAAAATCTCTCCGACCCTCCATTGTTGAACAAAACCCTAACAAATGAAACTACGAACATGTTGATTGAGAAATTATTTTTGATGAATGAAATACGAAATTGATTTTTAGGAAACTTCAAATGAGATAAGACTTCATATTTTTTATTGTTTTAGTGATTTTGAAGACATCGATAATTATTTAATCTTACTTTTGCTGCGTTATTCAAGTTTCTATATTCGTATTCATCTTTTAGGGATCACAGAGATTACATGAAGAATTAAACATCTAAAATTACCACCAAATATTAAAATTAGACGACATGGGTTCTAATGGTGGAATTGAAAACAATCCACATATGCTTTAAATCCGAGGTAGCATCTTTTGTCAAAATTCCAGTTGGCATTTTTTGTCCAAATTAAAAGAGATTTGAGAAATGTGTGGGGTGTATAAAAAATATGGGGTGCATGTAGAAAATGTAAGGTATGTTGAGAATGTGAGATGTGAGGGTATTATGGGGAAATAAGTGGGGTGTATTAAGATAATTTTTCATTGAAAAAGCAAATGTGAGGTGTATTAAGTATGTGGGGTTTATTCAACAATTTATGGGGTGTTAATATAATAAGCCTTTAGTGTAATGCTAAAAATTGTTAATCAATCTCGTGGTTAACTCAATTGGAGGTTCTTAGTAATGTCATTAGATGAGCTTGGGTTTCAATATTTGTGTAGTTGCCCGAACAAATTCCTCTTCATATACAAAGTACAAGAGATTTTTCAGTGTGACAGGAACACGGGGTAGTACACCATGTGTTACTATACAAATGATGAGATATGTGTGTTAAAAAGTTAATAACTTAAAAAATAAAATTTTCCACTATTATATAAAAACATGTGGTATATCACTCATGTTCCAGTCATAATGAAAAATTTCTTGACAGAGAGAGGTGGTACAAGACTCGAGACAGAGGCATGTAGAAATTCAGTATTTTCCAAATGATAACCCATAGTTTATGGTGCCGTGCAAGCTTTGGTTAATTTGATGACGGTTTTTGTTTGTGAGGAAAGTCTGTCTCTGTATTTGATCACAATGAAACAAAACATGTTTGATTGGTATTTAAAATCATTTGCTATTGAGTCTGGTGTTGAAGATCAACACCAACCCAATTGGTATTTATGTTGAAGTGTAATCTTGCCTTGGCCCAAGATAGATCCAGCCCATGGACAAAGAAAGATCCATACACGTGCTAGAGAATTCTAGCAAAGTTCAAGTTGGGGGAAGAGTCTAGAAGAATGGTGAGGTTTCCACCAACATGAAAGATTTGTGTAGATAATTCTAGCTTAGGAAGTTAGTGGAATTATCTACATATCTCTAGCATGATGTTTCCATGCTTCTCCAAGGTTCCATCCATGCCTATAAAAGGAGAAGGCATTCACACCATTTGTAACCAACCAACCAAGAAATCAAGAAGTAGTAGTAGGCAACCAAGTGAGAGTGAGAAGCAAGAATAGTCTTGTAGGAGTGTGAGTGATCTAGAGTTTGTCTATAGAAAGTGATTGAGTGTCATTGCTTCTAAAGTTGTGTCCTTGTGAGTGTTGTAATATTTTGTGAGTTAATACAAGTAATTTGTTTACTTGTTTTGTCTCTCCAACATTTGTGTTAGAATTGTGTACTTTAAAGTTTTTTCCCAACATCTGGACCATGCAATCATCGAACACTAACTCAGTTTGTTTCGATACGAGTCTTCAGCTCGCCAACATCCGGTATGTCCAAATTTGTTCCTTTTTTATTTAATCATTTGCATAATTAATTCGTGTTGATTTTTCCGTAATTTTGATTTAGAAGAAGAAATATATTCAAGGCTTTCGTATTGAGTATATTTTACACTGCCGGTCCAAAGCTCGAATAAATTAGGAGGGAGGAGGAGTCAAATAGTTGATAGCCGCCACTCCATTTTTCATGTCTAATCTCTATGATTCCGTATTGAGTTTTGTCAAGCCCTAATGATGAATTAAACATAGGAGGCTGCGTTGTTGCATTTTAACATGAAGTTGACAATTAACTAGCTGAGACCAGATGAATAAAAAGGGAAGGCATTGCCAAGGTAGAAAAATTTGCTGAGTAACGAAATAAATTGATGGGGAGAAGTTGCGCTTTCAATTCGGGTGCTTAAGGTGATGCAGGGAGGAAAACAATGAGATGTTTATTGAAATATCAAGCACAACTATGACCCAATGAACATATAGAGAACTAGTCCTTGTTTACATAAACTCATTCAAAATGCATAATTTGTTTCTTCCTTAACGATTCTAGCCTTTTAATAGGCCCAACAACAAGATAGTTAAGCACTAACACAACTTCCTAGTCCACTAGAACATAAGAAATAATTATCACCAAGTCTCAATCCTACCATCTAATTAAAAACACAATATTCCAAATACTTGATTACTATAGATATTAACTAGATTTGAAAACTTAATGGACCATCCTGAATATCAAGATCCGTAATTAATCAACCTCCTTAATGCACTGCATCATAGGGGGAGCATATCCGCTCTAGCCAATGTAGCTACACCCATGCCTGCGGAAGGGGAGAAGTTATTAGTGACATTGACAAGCCTTTCTTTATTGGTGAGGTTCCTCAATGCTGCTTTGTGAGTTCTACTACATGATCATATCTGTCTCACCCTTATGAGGGTGTTTGCTTATTTTTCCCTTTCTTATCGCTCAATGACGTCATATACTGCAATATGGCCCGAGTAAACTCTTCTTCATCATGCTGGTACAGTAGGCGGAGACCACACCTATGGACACTGAAGGCCTCGTGATCGCTTACGACTGAAGCTTCTAGGGAACTGCATTCATTCAACTGATCTGAAAACCACACTCGTGGTATGTAGGATACCCAAACGAATCCTCCAAGATGCAACCACATGAATTCTTCTTTGCTTGTGCAGTAGTGATGCAGAGAATTCCCTTTGTCCGTTTCAAAATGACAACTGAGGTTGTGAGAAATTGCTGGGATGTCCAATTTGTCAATCTCGGAAGTCAGATGCTCCAGGATTGCAAAGTTTGCACATACAGCCAATCCTAGCCAATTACTGTCCATGTTTAGATTTTGTGGCAGACTGATTGTTAGCGAGTAGTCAGTGCTTTGATGGCCAAACCACTCTAGATCTATGTTTGAAGGGAGACATGAATTGTATACAGAGAAACGATCGAAGTCCTGTAAAGGAGGAGAGACAAGGAGTCAGATATGCAGATATATGTACATGTGTATATAATGCAGTTTGACTATGTGCAAGATGTCTTGTCTTTGACGAGCGAGAGGATGTCCTGCACATAGAATTTCTGGGATCAAAGTTGAAGAGAATTAAGTAGAAATGAGATTTTCTTAATGCGTAAGAGGATGTCCTGCACATAGAATTTCTGCGAATAGTTCAGGTGTGTATATAAATATATATGTGTGTGTGTAGAGAGCGAGAGAGTATAAAGAAAATCGTACCCATTTCCTGTGACTCGGCTTTACTAATCTTTCAAGGGGAGGTTTCGTAATGTAGCTGCTACATCTACTAGATGATTCCGAGTTACCCTCAGCGCATTGCTTATTTTTTCCTTTCTTATCTGACAACATCATATTGTGAGATAAGGCCTCCTCAAACTCTTCCTGATCATGCTGATATACAAGGCGTAGGCCACAACTATGCACATTACATGCTTCATGATCGCTTGCAATTGAAGCATTCACGATACTGCATCCATTCAACTGATCCGAAAACGACGCTCGTGGTATATAAGATACCCAAATGAATCCCCCGAAATATAACCACTGGAATTCTTCATTGGTGGTGCAGTAGTAATGGATAGGTTCTATTGTACCTATTTCTGATTCCAAAACACACGTCAGATGGTGGGGAATATCTCGATTCAAATTGAATAGCTCAGCAGTTGGATTTTCCCCAACGGAGAAGTAAGCACATAGAGCCAATCCCTTCCAATTAGTGTCACTATACAAATTTGGTGGTAGTGGAACTCTTACTGAGGAACCATTGCTCTGATCCCCAAACCACTCTAGACTGATGCTTGAAGGGAAACAAGAATTATAGATCGAATGACAGTCAAAAATCTGTAGAGGATAGACAAGGTGTGAGATATACGTTTAAATATATATATATATATGTGTGTGTGTGTGTGTGTGTGTGTATATGTGTGTGTGTGTGTGTGTGTGTGAGAGAGAGAGAGAGAGAGAGGGAACTCTACCCATTTCTTATCACTGGGCTGCTCTGATTTCTCAAGAGGAGGATTTACAATGTCGACTCCTGTAATACTTGATGATCCTACCTCACAGTCCTGGTGTTGTTTTTCTTCCCCTTCATTAATATCAGACAAGGAAGTCATGCAGTGCATTATGGTCTCCTTGAGCCCTTCTTCATCTTCCAGATATATAAGACGGAGCCCGCAACTCTGCACACCCAAGCTTCCACAATCGCTTACAATTGAAGCCTCCAGGTGCCCTCCTTCATTTAACTGATTCGAAAACCAACATCGTGGTATGTAGGACAACCAAATGAATCCTCCCATACGATTCAACCACTTGAATTCTTGGTTGGTGGTGCAAAAGCCATGGAGAGATTCCAGAGAACCTTTATCAGTCCCTAAAATACATGTAAGATTGTGAGAAATATCGATATCCAAATTTTCATGGTCGGTAGTTGAATGGTCGAGGACTGAAAAGTATGCACACAAAGCTAGTCCTCTCCAATTGGTGTCTTCACATAGATTTGGTGGTAGGGAGACTTTTACAGAGTAATCTCTGCTTTTACCCGCAAACCAGTCTATAATCTCATTGGGAGGGAAGCAAGAATTATATATCAAGTCACGGTCGAAGTCCTGCAAAACATAAGAGATAGGATAGATGAATATTTATACATACATATATATATATATATAGGTATATATATAAATACACACACACACACACACATACACAGACAGAGAGAGCGCAAAAACTCAAGCTATAATTTTACCAGGAGCCGACTCTGATCCAAGCTTATATTGTTGTCATGACCATGAGAAGGAGCAATCTTCTGTAGTAGAAAGTCGTAATTACTTCCACTTGTTTTCCGGCTCTGATCCAAGCTTATGTTCTTGGCAAGACCATTAGAAAGAACAATATCCCGTAGTATAGAGTAATTACCTCCTATTGCTTCATCGTGCCAAGCTGATGCTCTCTTTCTTTCGTGTTGAGATTCCTCAGCAGAATAAGTTTCTCCACGAAAATCAATTGGCATGAAACGAGGACAAACTTCGCTCACTGAGCTGTGCTCCGTGGATTTGGCTGCTTCAAGAAAATTCATTAACATACTTGTACATCCCAAACTAATTCCATTATATTTCTTGGTATCTGTAAAATCACCAGTTCCGTAGTAAACAGGCCGACCCGTTGTGGTTGTGCAATGGGTTATTGTATGGATTAACCCTTTCAAGTCTTGGTCGTATACTAGACGCATCCCGCACATTTCAACCTTCACACCTGGAGTTCTACATCCAAATAAAGCTTGAATGAAACGACACCGATTCAAGCGTTCCGCAAAACGTACTCGTGGTATATGAACAATAAGGAGTCGATGTGACCCCACATTGTCATCCAACGGGGAAACTAACATTAAGCGATGCATCAGTGCTTCCACACCCGCAGCTTCAATAGGTGTATACAAATGACACTCATAGTAAATGCGGCTACGTTGAACACCTTGAGGCAGACTGCAAACAACATATAGAGAAAGTCCCGCCCATTTCTCATCATTATGCAGATACGGAGGTAGAGTTAAGTTGACCGTGCATGCAGACGTAGTGCTCTGTTCACTGAACCACTCTAATTTTTCTCGTCGAGAAAAAATAAAACCATAATCGTGGATATTTGGAAGGCCCCTCCGCAATCCCTATACATGCATACACACTCATGATATCACTAATCAAGTTGTCAGTTTTGTTGTGTGCGTATGAGAGAGAGAGAGAGAGAGAGAGAGAGAGAGAGAGAGAGAGAGAGAGAGAGTACCTCAAATAGTTTTTCAAGCAATGACACTATGTTTCTTCTCAATTGACCTACAATGGGAGTTGAACTAGTAGTTTCTTCTCTTTGTAATTCTTGTTGAATTTGAACCCCACTTGTCGACGGAACACTTCTCATACCATCTTCGTTTTCGTCTTCTTCTTCAGGCTGATGGCCGTTACTGAAATTTTTATTGTGCTTAATCAATTTCCTGACAAATGTGGTCACGTGTTCCGAGTTTATTTGACTCGCCCCACACTCTGTCACTTTTACTTCTGGGCTATCAGGTGTAATCAAAGCTCGGATGAAGCGTTTATTTGAACATTCTTCAAGGTCACTTCGCGGTATATACAACCAATGTATAAATGGTCCAGTGAAATCAAGATCACCGTAATTAAGCACTTGGGGAAGTTCATGAGGATCTTCAGTTGTATAGAGATCAATGCGGAAATTGCGAGTGAGGTTTGATTGCGATTTCTCATCAAGTTCTGGCTCATCTTCCAAATTATCATGCTTCTGTGTACCTACACAGACAAAACATAGAGCAAGTCCCATCCATTTACTTATACCATCAACATCACGAGGCAGTGGGATTGTTACAGTGGATTCAGTACTCTGACGGCTCAACCATGCTGGAATTTTATTTGATCGATAAGAATATTGTAACATAGTACTGCGATGAATTGCATCCTGTAAAATAGAAGCGAGATAAGTAAAAAAAAAAAAAAAAAAAAAAAAACAGCTAATTAGAAAGGTGGATGGAGAGAGAGAGAGAGAGAGAGAGAGAGAGAGAGAGGACCTCAAAGAGTGTTTGATAGGACTCCCTCAAAAGATATTTAGGCGGTAGCCAATACGCCTGACCTTTGGTTTTATCACTTCGGCGATCTATAAAACTAAATCCAGCAGCAGGTGAATTCCATACCATTATTTTATCTGAATGTGCTCCCTCCAACAAGGGACAATTATGTGCCCTTACCCATCTTATACTAAATGGAAGTTTCGGCCATGACTGAAGCTTGCTACAGTCATCCAATACAAGTTCTCCAAGTTGAGAAAGTTGAGAGATGCTTTCAGGTACTTCACTTATAGCAGTCCCGCCAGCATAAAGCTCCTGTAAACATTCTAAGCTCCCCAAGTTCTCTGGCAACTCGTCAAGATTCGAACACCCTGAGAGGTTGAGAATTTGAAGTAATGTCAAACTAGTACAAATGGTTGCTGGCAAACTGCAAAGGTTTTTGCAATATCTGAGATAAAGCTCGCTAAGCCTGGTCAGATCCTTGATTGATGCTGGTAGCTGTTTTATAGCTGTCCCGCTTGCATCAAGCTCCTGTAAACATTTTAAACAACCAAGGTTTTCTGGCAACTCTTCAAGATTCGCACACCCTGAGATGGTCAAAGTTTGAAGGGATGTCAAACTAGTACAAATGATGTCAGGCAGACTCAAAAGGTTCTTGCAGTCTTTGAGATTGAGCACAATAAGTCCGGTCAGATGCTTGATTGATGTCGGTAGCACTTCTATAGCTGTCCCCTCTAAATGCAGTTCCCTTAATTGTTTCATGTCTTCTCCAATCTCCGGAAGCTTTTCAAGTCTGGAACATCCCGAAAGAATGAAAGTCGTAAGAGATCTCAAGTTGATTATATCGGGAACCTCGGACAAGCTTGTGCAACCTTTAAGGATTAGCTGCTCAAGGTTTGGGACTTCGCCGAAGTCGGGGGTCTCGATCAGCTTTTCACAATCAGTAAGGTTGAGTATTACCAACGTTTCCAAAGGCTGTAAAGAAGGGAGGAAAATGCATATGTTTGAGTATAAGTAGCATTCTCCAAAAGCCTTAAATTTGTCAAATAAATTCAGCAATAAGAAATGCATGGAGTATATAAACATTATTACCTTCTCAAATTCCTCCCATAATTTCTCTATTTTGCTTCGAGGCAAGTGCAGTTCAACAAGGTTTTCGGGTTCAAAACTTGAAGGCAGCAATTTTAAAGGATATTCATGCCATTCCAAGAACCTTAACTCATCTGAAAGAGACTCCAGGCATCCAGAAAATATCACATTGTGAATTTTCAACAGTTTTAGATCGTCCATGTTTGAGAATGTGTCTTTCTTCAAGTGCACTTTCTCTTGCTTAGGCGAGCTTAAGAAAATGCCTTTAACAGCATCTGTCCCCTAATAGCCATTGGAAAAAAAACACAACATTGAAAATCCAATTAAAAAAAATCAAATTCTAATAAAGTATGTATCTTACCCCTAAAATTATAACTAGACAACTTTTTAATCGAGATAAAAACATGGGCATTTCACTAAACTACTCACCTTATATTTCTTTATTACATGAAGGGCATCTGTGCAAAGCCACAATCTGCTGCGTTTTCCCCTCTCTTCATTTTCTCCACGAACAATTTCTCTGCCCACTTTTTGTAGTAAATCATGCATCCACAATTTTCCTCCTATGATGCTTACCAAATTTTTCTCGCGGAGAATATTTATATTGATACCTGGATGGTAGCCACAACTTTCAAATATCTTTTTTACCCGACAAACATCCTCCCCATTGAAGAAACATGCAACGTCCAAAAACATTTTCTTCTGTTCTGGAATCGTTAATCCCTCATAACCTAATTTAAGAGTACCAATAATTCTCTCCTCGCCACAATAATTATGATCTTTCAAAGAAGCCAACATACTGGACCATTCTTCCTCACTTCTTTCCAGGAGGGAGGAACCCAACACTTCAAGAGCCAAAGGAAGACCATCACATTGATCTACAAATTCATAAGACAATTTCTCATAGCCATTTATAGGACGATCCTCGTTGAAAGCTTTCCGGCAGAAGAGAAGAAGAGCTTCCTTGTCAGTAAGTTTCTCAACCGTGTATAGTAATTTTGGCTTATACTTTGTCAACAGCTTTTCATCTGTTGTGGTTATAATGATTCTGCTACCCTTACCAAACCGGTTATAAAAATCTTTGCCATCCTTTCCAGCTACAGCTTCTATTTGTTCTAATTTATCCACGTTGTCGAGAATTATCAGAACCCGTTTGCTGCACAATCTCTTACTTATCACTTCGTTGACATTCATCGTAGTTACTTTTCTACCCAACAAGTGAACACAAAGTTCTTCTTGGATGGGAAATGGACTTTGTTTAGATATCTCTCCAACCTTAGAAATGAAACTGAAAGCTTCAAATTGATTGCGAATTCTTTGAGAAAGAGCTTTTGCAATGGTACTCTTACCAACCCCTGGCATCCCACAAATCCCAATCATACAAACTTCTTCCGACCCTATAGACGAACTCATGGATTCGATTTTATCCACTTGAACCGTACCAACGAAGTCCTTTAGATCATCTGAGAACGTATGCTTTGTGTTATTCAATTCACCGAAAATACGTTCAACTATCTGTCCAATCGGTTGTGTCTCGTATCTGCCAAACAGTTGACGCATAATGTTAAGTATTTGGGATCAGTAAAATATGGGTTAAAACATGCTTGTTAAGAGGTTACAATCATTTAGTTTCTCAGGATACAGTTTTTGGGCATTAAATAATTTTACAATCACTTAGCATGTATTCAAATATAAGACAAGCATGGGTTGATGATCTATCTGTGTATCTGTAGGTTTTGGTTTTTAGCTTTCATATTTGAGTTGAGTGTAAATATATCGTTGAATCATATATAAAGTGCCTTTTCCTTGTTGGTGAATTAAGATGCATTTTCTAAACAAGGAAAGAGAGAAAAATAAGTATATAAAAATACCTACAAAAAATTGGGAAGGATAGTTCTATGTCTTCAAAGTTTAAATGTTTCTGATCTGAACCCCATTAAATCTCATATGGGTACCAATTTTAAGGAAATGAAGCATGACATATAAGTTGTTTGGCCTTAAAGATTCTTGACCAAATGTAACTTCTATTGATGCAAATTAAGGACCATTTTTTTTGGACTAAGATGCAACCCATTTGGTTTAGTTTAAAAGTGGCACATTGCTGTGTACTAAAAAATGATGGTTAGATGTTTACTTCTTGCTAAAATAGTTCTGGATTTCATTAACTTCTATATGAGATGGTTTTTGTTGTGTTTTATATTCTATGGTTTTTGTTGTGTTTTATATTCTAAGCTCAAATATGAAATATCTTGCAGCGTAGAATTTTAGGCACAAGAAAGATAATCACGGTTGCTCAAGGTACACATTAGTAAAATTTCAGGCTCGTTTGTCTTATTAATTTGCAATGTTGTCTATTTGCATGTCACTGTAATTCAAATTAATCTTTTAAGGAAATACATTACAGATTGAATTCTGATGGTTTTATCAAGTTGACACAAATCAATGAATTTTTTTGACAGATTACGGATTTTGATGTAAGTTTCAGAAACGATTGATATAATGACCATCAAATTACCTTAATTTTTATAATGCTATTCATTAATGTGTCTACTTATAAACCTGGACATATAATGATTATTGGATGTGTATTTATTTAGGCGTTTTGAACTTTAATTCTTGAAGAAGATTAAAATTTAATAAAAATTTGGTGTTAGATTGGATATTGATTTTAGTCATATAATGTGTACTTAATTCAAATTTATATTATTATTTTTTAATATTTAATGGATATCTTATTTAATGTATTACATAAAATTTTAAATTTAATAATATGCACATTTTAATTCATTAATTTGATTTAACTTCCTCTAATTAGTGTACCTAAATGTCTGTATCATAATATATTTTACTAAATTAGTGTATCGAGATTTCTGCAACTAAATATATGTACTGAATTAGTGGCACATAAGAAAATATGCAAAAACATAAGTGTACACGAAAATTCTTTACCTAAATATATGATACTAAACTAGTGTACCAAAATGCCGGTACCTAAAGATATTATACTACAATAGTGTACCGAAATGTTTGTATCTAAATATATTGTAAAGAATTAGTGGCACACAAGAAAATATGCAAAAATATAAGTGTATAAAAATCTCTACGAAAATATTTTCTTATATAAGATACTTACCATAATGAAAATTAAAATTTATAATATTTTCATAAAATTTAATTTGTGAACAGCATAAAATTATAAATAAAAAAGAGAGATATTGACTACATATGCTGGCATTAAATAGAGTCTAGGAACTAAAATCAATTTTTAATCTTGTGTAAGACATTTTCTAAACTTCATCTTATTTAAGGATTAAAATCTAGTTTACTAATTTATTTATGGTGATTTTATTATTAACCCGTGTTTAGTAAGAAGTTTATGTTGCCAATTTTTGTTGTTTAACATTTAATGAAATTTGTTCTCATTCCATTTGCTACAATTTGTAGCTTATGCCATAAGGAACGTTAGGTTATTATTTTGATATGTGCTTCACTTATTTGTTTTGTGTATGTTTGTGAAAGTCTTTTAGACATCAAGGCTTCAATTTTGAAGCTATAAGAAGACTGTTTTAGAATCATAAAAGAACAAATTGTGAATGTGGGTACAAATTTCAGTTTGATATAGTGCTGAAAATGGCCAGTAATTATGATGGTCGAACAATTTCATATTGGTATTACGCATTTATATAAGTTCGTCCTGAATTACTGAGTTGTGAAGGTTTTAATGCAGCTGCTAGTTAAAGTGCTCATAAGTTTTAAATTTTGCACTTCGTTAAGGTTCACGGCATTGGCAGAAGTACATAAAAGTTATTAGCTGCATTGGACTATGTTTTAAAATTTTAATTTGCTTAAATGATTTCATGGCAGTAAAGGAGGCATCAAATGTTTACAGCTGATTGGTTTTACCGTTTATGAGCTTTCGCTCGAAGCATAATGCATTCTTGTAAAGATTGATAATTAAGGAGGACCCTGGAGTGAATGAACTGATATACATTCGGGTCTTTGCTCTTCACTAGTAATAACTTTATGATGTATGTTACATGGAGCTTATTTGTGTGATTGTAAAGTTTAATGGGTGATTTAAGTTAATTAACCTAAATAATCCCAAAACGAGTAAACTTTATTTGACAGAAAGATATGGGAAGCTTATCTTACTTAAATTCATTGCCCAATAAAGTAATCTTGCTCAAATTCCATTGAATCTTTTCTTGGATTAATTGTTTGACCTAGTGTTGCCTAATAAGTCTTTACACTTTGAGTCCAAATTACAATCTATTAGGGATTGGACTTGGTGGACCAATCTTATTGGATGAAAACTCTAATGATATCGATGATGGATAGTTAATAAGTTCACTAGGGTTTTGCCTATAAATATAAATCTAAAGAGAAATGGACAAATGACACTGGCTTTGTGATCATTTTCAGAGCCTGAACTTTTTGGTAAGTTTTTTTTTAAACTTCATTTCACTATTTTTTTTTCTTTTTAATTGCTTTTTTTTTTATTCACAATGAAAATCTTCGGCAAATAAGGCTAACTAGGAAGCGAAGCAGTATCTTCGTCACTCCGGTGCTCAGCTCCTCACTTACCGGGTTGATGAACAGTGTGTGAAGGGTTCACTTTTCTATGAAGTCAACGCCTATCAGGATAGGCATGCCAATTATGGCAGTCAGGTGGTTGATAATATTTATGTAAGTATTCCGTTCAAGAATTTAATTTCAAATTTCATTACACTTAAAAATTTTAAAAATTATGATCAATAATTTTAATTGGTTTCTCTTTTTTTGGTAGGCTTCTATGTCACAAAAGGAGGATGAGTATCTAGCCAACCTCTCCTAGCAGCAACCGAACACGATCACGAAGAAAATAGATGGCAATCGATCGAAATTGTAGATGGTTGGAAAGATGATCGACCCATTGATGAAAATGATGGAGATGGATATGGAGGAAACAGGTGATGTGGAATTAAGATGGTAGGATCAAAAGGAAAATAGGGCAGCATAGTGATGATAGCAGGAGGAAAAGAACCACAAGGAAACAGGGAAGATAAGCAAGCAAATAACAAGAAGAAAAGGAAAAGAAAAAAATAAAAAACCATGGGACTGCCACCGACCCTAGCCACAGCTAGAGCCGGCGGTGACGTGAATCTTCAAAGATTGGATGCACTCACACAAAGGGGAGAAGAACTCTCACATACGGAGAGAGAGGCTCTCACAAACGGAGACAAAAATATAGGATGAGTGACCACTAGGACGTAAATTTCTAGAAAATAGAACTTTGGCCGGCGAAATAGTAGAAAATTCGTCAGGCAAAATTGTAAAATTTTCGTCGTTTAGGATACCATTCTAGCTCATCAATAGGTCTTACCAACAAAATATTGTCGTCTTACCAACAAAATATTGTCGTCGGACAATTAGATTCGTTAGCCCAAATTGGTCAACGCACTTGGCTCGACAAAGTTTCAAAATTTGTCGAGCAAACGTTTATGCGACAGGTTTTATCTGATGAATTTGTGTAGGACAGAACATTAGGCGATGAAACCTTATTTGGCTAGCAGAAATCCCTTCATCTGGAAAGAGGGTGTTTTTCTTGTAGTGTTCGTTTCTCCTTTTCATCATATACTTTTCCTATATCTTAAAGATAAAAAATTAAACCGAACCAAATAGTTACCAAATGAGCTATATTTTTGCAAGTTTCAAAATTGAAAATAGCTACCAAAAACTAAAAACCGAAAATTCAAATAGTTGCCAAACGAACATCAAGAAAAACATATATTGAAATGAGAAATTTTCAACCTAAACAAATGAAATACAAAATAGAAGCACCACATACCTATAATGTCTTAGATCAAATCCTGAAAGTTCGGCTATTGTAGTCAGTGAACTCTTCCACCTTGTCACCTTCTCTGTTTCTCCTTCGAAATCTTTTTCATGTTTAGCAAACGCCTCTTCAAAACAAACTCCGGTCTGTTTTCGGACTTCCGACGGTGTCACGTCATAGAATACCGGCAGAATCAGTCTAGACTCATCGTTGGCCGCAAGTTCAACCATACTTGCAAGTTCATCCAGGCACCATGTGGAGGTTGCGTAGTTTCTGGAAAGAACAACAACGAAAATTTGCGATTCTGCGATTGCGTTGGTGAGTTCCCTTGAGATGGGTTTTCCGCTCTCGAGTTGTTCTTCATCCCTGAAAGTGTGGATCCCGTCTCGAACTAGAGCATTGTACAAATGGTCAGTGAAACCTTTCCGAGTGTCCAAACCTCTAAAACTCACGAAAACCTCGTATTTCAGTGGACGGGGCAAAGTTGACGAGGTTTTGGTGGTCATGGGATCAGCCATCGGAGACTAATCACCAGTAACCAAACTGGTAGTTAATGGAAGCTTTGGCAAGTTGTTGCTTAAAAGCGTTTGCAGAACTAGCTTGGTATAGCTGCGAAGAATCACCAGTAAAGGGACTCAGAACCGCAATATAAGGACATCAACTTCTATGACACGAGTAGTTACGAGTACATTGTACATCTGCATCATTAAATTAAGAGATATTAATTGCTTTGTCCCTTGAACTTTTTAAATTAGCCAATCTCCCCCTTGAACTTTAATGTTAGCCGATTACTCCTTAAACTGTTATAAATAGCCAATTCCTCATTTGGCGTTAGATTTTAAAAACTTTCATTCAATTTTTCATCCATCCAATGTTTCATCATTTTTGCTCTCATACAGTTATCATGTGTTGTTTTCGTAATCAAGATGAATGAAAAATTGGATGAAAACTTTTAAAATCTAACGCAAGGGGAAATTAGATATTTATAAAAGTTTATAGGGTAGTAGGCTAAAATTAAAGTTCAAAGGGGAAATTAACTAATTATAAAGGTTTAAGGAGGTAATCGGCTAAAATTAAGTTTAGAGAAGAAAATTGACAAATCCATACAAATTCAGGAGGCAGATCGACAAATATGCTTTAAATTAATGATATAATATTACGTGAATAAAAATTTGTACTTGACATTATATTATTAACACAAAATAGAACAATAGTAATTTACTAGAACCAAATATATTATAAGACTTGGACGGCAAGAATACAAAGATAACTCTCCGACTGGTGGAGTGCATACCCGCGGCTGGATACACGGCAACCTAGTACTATATTAATATTATATGTTGGGCAAAAGCTGGGAATTTGAATGGGTAAACGCCAAAAGAGCAGAAACTTCAAAGTCTCTCCACGATGACTAGGTTTTTTAATGTTTACTTGTTTGATTATCTCGTGTAGATAGGAATTTTAGTTTTATTTTATGGCAAGTTGTCTGATTTTCTTGTCTGAGATCTTAAAAAATACGGGGACAAAAACAAAATGATTATGTGAACGTGAACCTGCTTGCCCTTTTCTTCTTTGTGGGGCTTGACGTTCGAGGATTAATAAATCAAGGACCAATCCACATGCGTTCACTTTAATCAAGCAAGTCCACAATGGATGCCATTGCATTTCCAATTCCATTGATTTATTAAAAGAAATTTGAAAGTATACAACCACGCGTTTGAAACCTTTGCCTTAATGTCGCTTATTATTGGACAAAGCAACAACTGTGGTAGCCTATTTTATCTGACAAAAATAAGAGGGTCGGCGGCAAGGGTAAGGAGAGAGAAGAGATGTATGTGTAGAATTATAATGGAATTTTGTGTTGAGGATCTGTTATCCCCTACGTCATACCTTTATTTATAGTAGTAAAAGAAGAGAGGAAATCTTTCATCCCCAAATCCCCTACGTAATACCTTTATTTATAGTAGTAAAAGAAGAGAAGAAATCATTCATCCCCAAAGGATATAAGTCCATATAGGAAAGAATAACTAGAATCAAATCTAATTTAGGATTTACACAATCACACTTAAACTAGGAAAGTACACTCCCCCTTGAGTGTGTAGCATCATGCAGAAGTTAAGGAAGTCGACTCGTCAACACTGATTATGGGAACAATGCTTATTCTCAATAAGGTAGGAACTTGCATAAAGTAGTAAGTCTCACTAAAAAACCTAAGGCTATGGCAAAAACCCAAGTAGGGACAAAATTCATAGTCGAAGGAAAAATGCGTGAGTAATGCAAAGTCAAATGAAACGTCTACGGGACGTCATCAGGGATATGATCAACCCAAGGTGGATGCCTCGTTAAAACCAAGTTAGGTAGCAAAAAACCAGTGGGAAAAAGGCTTTTAATCGTAGGGGAAAAAAGTTCATTAAGACCAAGTGAGTATACTTCAAGATACTCCCCCTGAGTTTGACACAATTCCAAAGAGAAATAGCAATGTTACAACTCAGAAAGTTTACGCATACCAATCCCTTGAACAAGCTTCTGAAACGTCGTCTTCAAAAGTGATTCAGTGAAGAGGTTGGCCAAATTGTCTTGTGAACGGATTTGCGTGAATTCAATCTTCTGATGCTCTTGTTGTTGATGTGAGAATAATAACTTCGGCACAATGTGCTTGGTATTGTCTCCTTTGATGTAACTATTCTTGAGTTGTTTGATGCATGTTGCGTTGTCTTCAAAGATCATTGTCAAGACATCTACGATGGGGCAAAGATCTCAGGAGCTTCGAATATGGCCCACAACTGCTCTCAACCAAAAGCATTCTCGAGTTGCTTCATGTAAGGCAAGAATTTCAGCATGGTTAGACGAAGTGGCAACTAAGGTCTGTTTAGTTGACCTCCAAGAAATTCCGGTGCCTTCAACGATAAAGAAATAACCCATTTGAAAACGCGCCTTGTGTGGATCAGATAAGTATCCTGCGTCGGCATAACTAACAAGGCGAGAATCGACTCGAGAAGCAGGGGGTATGACATCACTCGAGAATCCGTAGGGATAGAACAAGCCCAAATTCGTAGTACCCTTAAGGTAACAGAAGATGTCTTTCACGCCAGTCCAGTGTCAGCGTGTTGGCACATTACTGTATTTTGCCAAAAGATTAACATCGAAGGAGATGTCCAAAATTTGATGTGGTAGAAACTAACACACAAATTAAACCCTTTTTAGACAGTTGTAGTATGCGTAAGTAGGGATCATTCTAGGCTAGGGATTAGGAAGGATGCTAATCTACACTAACTTGACTCAAAAACTAAAAACTAGACTCAAATACACAAAACAAGCACTAAGGGGTGTTTTGGACGAAAATTGAAGTAAATTGACACGAAATACTAAAAGGGGGTTTGTCTGGACGAATTTTAAACTAAAACTAAGTAGGTTGCAGAAACAAACTAATTAATACTAAATTGGGATGAATGTAGGGGGTAAAAGGCTAGCTAGAGGGTCATTCTCCACACATGACACATATGCATACAAATCGATTTCCAATTACTCTTTCTATAAACCATGAATGATAATGCCCCAAGTTAACTGTGAACTGCACAAATTAACTCTTAGATTTTCCTAAATTCATTGAATTAGACTCAGCGACGCAAACAAATTATTCTTATCAAGTTCCCTATATGAACTGCATGATAGAGATACATATCAAAGATCATTAAGTTCTATGAAAATCATAAGCATTGACATGACATTCGTAACTATGAACTGCATGATACTCCTACCAGGAATTTACTTAACGTGATCGTGACTAGCAACCTCCACTACTTATAAATATAAGTTCATAACTATTAGGTGAAATTCCCTTATATTTTAGTATCAGATTCATGCATGCACACTAAGTATGCATCCTTAATCAACATACAAGAATAAGTTATCAATCAAACAGATAAGTAAATCGCATTCATGTTTTACGAAACAATAACTGGATGTAATCAATTCATATAACACATATGTTCATGGCTTTGAATTCACCTCTAGCTAAAATGAAATTAGTTCCACATGTCCATCATAATTGAAAACCAAATTGAAATAAACATTGAACTAAAACTAAGGATAGAATGAGCCAAGAAATGCTCCAACACTCCAATGGCAGGTTACGGCACCAAGCTTCTTCTTCTCATTCCTTGCAAAGCTGCGGCACTCTTTGTATTTTTCTGATTTTCTCTCCAAAACTCTCCCTGATTTGTGCGGCATAAATTATGTATATATAGGGCTAGGGTTCACAGCACTAATCCTTGGAGGACAAGGATAGGGCACGACACAAGTCCAGAAGGAAAAGGATTAGAGTGGTGTGGCACCAATCTAAGGCTTTTAGAAAGGGGTATTGTGACAAGTTTCTAGAAGGACAAGGGATAGGGTATGTGATACTAATCTAGGATAGAGGATAGGGCTTCTAAAACGAGATATTTAGTTGATTAAATGTGAAATTGATTCCCCTTTGCAGCTAGAATTAAGGTAGGATAAGATTAAGTTAGGATGAGATAACATAAGGTTGGATAAGGTTTGGATAAGGTTCCTTCCTTTTAGTTGATTCCTTATCTTCAATGTCTTGAATTAATTCTTCTAGATGTTAAGCACATTCCTAGCCTCTTTTGATCTTCAAAAACGTCCATCCACTTCGCTCCATCCATGTGTTATCCATTCCAAGCCCAAAACTGCTCTAAAATGCTCCAAATTGCCTTTTCTTGCCAAATTTTCCATTTGGACCTACAAACACACGAAAATGACTTAAAACACTCTAATAAATAGAAACTAATTGAGTAAATGCAAGGAAATAGGTTAACAAAGTCGCATAAATATGTTCCTATCAGGTCTAGTGCATTGAGCTAAGTACAATAAAGTGCATATCGCATTTAGATAAGGAACTTCAGGCTTCAAAATCTCTTCATCATCCTCCTTCGGATGGAAGGGATCTCATTTTGCATCTAGCGATCGAACGACCATAGGATTACTCAAAGGCTTCGATTTATCGTCGTTAAAGCGGTGCAACGCCTTTTGGGTGTAGTTCATTTGATGTACTAAGATTCCATCCGAACTGTGCTCTATCTCGAGACCGAGATAGCATCAAGTCTTTCTTAGATCTTTCATCTCAAATTTCGACTTCAGGTGCGTGGTAGTTTTCGCGAACTCTTCAGAAGTTCCAATAAGGTTCATGTCATCGACATGTACCATAATTATTGCAAAACTGGAATATGACTTCATAATGAACACACAAGGGCATAGTTCATTGTTCACATATCCTTGACTAGTCAAATACTCACTCAGACGGTTATACCACATTCTTCTGGATTGCTTCAAACCATAGAGTGAACTCTTCAACTGAATTGAGAGCGTGTTCTGGGGTTTGGAAATATTTGATCCAGTCAATGTAAGTTCTTCGGGAACGCAGTTACTATGTCCATCAGATGTATACTTAGTTTTTCGGAAACTACCAAACTGATAAGATAGCGAAAAGTAATCACATCCATAACGGGTGAATAAGTTTCATCATAGTCAATCTTGGGGCGTTGTGAGAAGCCTTGTGCAACAAGACGAGCTTTGTAACGTACAATTTCATTGTTTTCATTATGCTTCCAAACAAAAACCCACTTATAGCCAACGGGCTTCACATGTGGATGAGTAGAAGCTACAAGTCCAAACACCTTACGTTTCACAAGCGAATCGAGT